AAATTAATAAAATCTAATTAACTTAAATTACAGTAGTTGATTCAAATAAATAAAACTTAGATTTATTATTAGAGCTAAATTAAGTATGACATTAGTATACTTCTTATTAATAATAGTAGTATCATATTATAAATTTTAACTTCTAAGTAAAAACTAATATTCATTTTAATAAAGTTTTAACTTTTATACAAAATGATAGCAAAAAAAAATATAAATGTACAGTATAATTAATTTAGCATATTTGTTTTTTATATTAGCATTATAGTTGTTATTAGCAGTAAGAAATGTAATATTGAAAAAAAAATGTCTGTAAGATGTAAACATTTTTATTTTCTTACATCTCTTACCTTATAAATAGGAACAAAGAATTAAAAAAATATTTTTAAAAAAAATTAAAGTACAAAAAATTTTAAAACTTGTCAATTTAAAGAAAAATTTTAATTAAAATACTATAAATTTAAGAAAAAAATGAATTTTCCAAGCTTTTACAAATTGAACAATATTTTATTCAATGAAAAAAAATATGTAAAATTTCTTTTTAAACAGAAAATTTTACAAAAACCAACAGAATGTTTATACTGTAGATACAAAATATTATATTTTATTTCAATATGAAAAATTTTTGGTTGTGCAAATTGTATAAAACAAACAACTTTAGTTTTAAAAAACACTATTTTTTATAACCATAAATTAAAATGCAATGAGATTTTATTAATTAGATATTTTTGGTTAATCAAATCAAGATATACAACAATTAAAAAATTTACAGGCCATAATTCTTTAACAATAATTAGATTTATAAAAATGTTTAGAAACTTTATTACAAAAAGTTTAACAAAAGAAATACTAAAATAGGTAAAGATAGAGTCATAGTTGAAATCAATAAATTAAAATTTAGAGCTAATGAAAGTTACTGGGTTTTAGGATTTGTTAAGCGAACAAGATTAAGAAAGTGTTTTTTTATAATAATAAAAGACAGAAATGCTAACACATTAAAAAAATTAATTAAAACATATGTAAAACCTGGTTCAACTATATTTATAGATTCTTAAAAATCATATATAGGACTAGAAAAGATAGGATTTAAACACAAGCAAGTAAATCATAAGAAGCTAAGCAAAAGTCAAACTCTAAAATAAATTCATAGTTAGTATATTGAAGGCACTTGGTGAGAGTTAAAAATGAATATTTTGAAAAGAGATACAGTTAAAAAAAAACTTTATTTATACTTAAAAGAATTTGTATTTCAAAGAAAACATAAAGCTAATTTGTGAATAGGTCTTATTAATGCAATTAAAATTATAAAACATAAATTATTAAAAAAAAACAAGAGTTTAACAAATAAAATAAATTTATATAATTCGTTTATTATTTGTTTTATTTGAATCAAGTTTGATTCTTTGTATACAGAAATATTGTTAATGATTATACAAAAAAAAATCTAATTAGTTTAAAACTGATTAGTTATTAGAAAAGTTTTCATGATTAGAATTATAGAAAATGAATCTAATTAGTTTATAAAACTGATCAAATTCTTTATAAACAATTTTCTGGCTCCCAGCCAGAAAATTGACAGTTAATATTACTCTTTATTTATTAAACAATGCTTTCACTTTTTTTATTCTTCAAAGAAGAACCAAGCTTTATTTTTTTCTTAGAAACTTTAAAAATTAAAACAAATACCTATTACCCAATGCTATGCATTGTTTGATAATATGTTTTAATTTTTAAAGTTTAGGCAAGTAATAAAATAAATAATCAAATTATTTTTAAAATAAAGTTAATACAAAAAATATTACAAGCACAAAAAAAATTCAATGTAATGTTGATAATTTTTCAGGTTCCAGTCTGAAAAATTGTCAGATTTTTGCCTTTTATTTATTCAGAACAATGCTTTATGTTTTTTTTATTTTTCAAAAGAACCAATTTTATTTTTTTCTCAGTTTGTTTCTGTCAATATAACAAATGCCTTAGGTGATGATAAACAATTTCAACAAGTTGGAATTGTTTCTAACTACTTCTTATTTTTGTCATATCTTGGAAACAAATTTTAGTGTTCTTTGAGATAAAATAATTTAAAAAAATAATTAAAAATTTAATTGCATTAAAAAATATAAATATATATAGATAACTTTTATTTACTACAAAATGACAACAAATAAAATTTTAAGACAACAAAATATTGCATTACTTGTTAATAAAAAACAATTAATAAAAGAAAATAATAATTTAAGAAATAATATTCAAGATATTGAAACAAATAATACTCAACTGATTAAAGAAAACAATAAATTAAAAGAATTAAATAATGCTTTAAAGATTGTTTTATGTGATGCTAAAGATAAGCAAAACCATTACAAGGCAGAAAATTTAGCTAAATTTGATAATTTTATTTCAAATTACATTTTTGGTTTATTTAATAATATTAGTTTATGGTTATAATTTAATAATTGATATATAACAAATATTGTTAATTTTTTTAGATTTTATAATTTTTTTCAGATTTTAGCTATTTTTTATTATATTAAAATTATTTATATAAAGTTTTTAAGACCTGTTTTTATAATTCCTTATGTTAATATTACTAAAATAAAATATGTTAGAATAGTAGAAATTTTATTTGTAAATATTCTAACAGCATACTTTAGCATATATTTGATAATTTGTATATTTGAAAAATTTAACAAGATTTAGTTTGCTATATTTTTTAAATAATATTTTTTTGTTTTCATCAGACAAGCTTTTTTTTTTGGCATGCTGCTAAACTTGCAATTGCTTATATGTTAGTTATTTTTAATAGTTAATAAGAATTATTATTTTGATATGAATTTATGATTGGGGCCTCAACTTCCTAATCACCAATATGAATTAACATTTTGATTTTTACAAAATGTTGTAACAATTATTAAAAAAAATAAAATATATGTTTATTTAATATTGATAAATAAATATTGATAAAAAATACAATTGTTATTTAAAAAATTTATAATTTAATCTTTTTAACAACTTCTGTTTTTTCTAACTGATCATCTTTTTTATATTTGCTATTTAATTTATTTTGCTTCTTTTTTTTTCTTTGTACATTCAAAATCTTCTAAATCTTAAGAACTTAGTTTAGAATTATAATTTAGGTTATCTAATTTTTTGTTTATTGTTGTTAAATTTTTACTACTTGCAACTAAAATCCATTCTGAAGATTCTGATTTATTTTTTATATTTGTAATCATTCTATCAATTATATTATTAATATCTTCAATAGTTCTATTTTCAAAAATATTATTGTTCTAAATACAACACTAATAGAATAATTTTGTTTAAGGATTTTGATAAATATATTTTTTAAATTCTAAATCTAATGTAACTTTTTTTACTTGTTCTAAAGAGATGTTTTGATTAAATTTAATATCAAATATTCTGTTATTGAAATCTTTTTTGTTTTCTTTTTCAAAGATTCTTACTATATTATCAGATCTATTTTGAATTGGTTTACCTTCAAATTTAATTATATATTGAAGTTTTCTTTTAAAAAACACCAATTTTTATCAAACTATTATTTAAATATAATTTTTTATATAACTCTTCTACAGGACCATTTTTAGTTAAACAAATATACATAGTAACAATATTTTTTTTATCATATTTTATATCTATTCTACAATCTTTTCAATCAGTTAACTTTAATAAATTAGTCTAACTTAAATACCTATAAAATCATTTATTAAAATTGCAGTATCTTGATCATAATCAATAGTCTCATTATTATCTTCTTTCTATTGTTTTACATCCTCTTTTTTATATATTTAAGAAAAAAGATCAGTACAAAGTTTAGATTTACCTGTATCATAATCTCTCCAGATATAGGTTATACAGAGCTTCCAATAGTGATTATAATCTTTTAAATGATTAATTTTTGTTTTTTTTAATCCTTTTTTAATTAATATTATTTTATAAGTAGATTTTAACCAATCTACACATTTAGTACATAGTTTGCTAAAACTTTATAAACTTTTTTTTCATTTTTTAAATCTTCATAGCTTCTATATAGTTCTTATTATTATTTTTATTATTATCAGATTTAAATAAAAATGGTCTTGCAATTAATAGATTATTATTAGTTCTTGAAAATAGTCTTTTACAATTTTTATTACAATATTCACAAATTTTTAATAAATCTTTAAAATCATATTTGCATTATTGTTTTTTTTTTGGATTAGGATTATGTTCTGACAATTTGTATCTGTTATAATCTTTTGCTGTATATGTCAAGTATTCTTTATCTGTTCTATTTGCAAATTCAAAATGAAGATTTGTTTCAAAAATTAACTTTAAACCTGAGTTTTTGTTTGTTTTAGAATTATATATACCAACATATAATTATGTATCTTTTTTTAATTTTGCAAATTCTTAAGCATGAAATCTTCTAGTTTTTGATGGATTATGAATTTTCTCAAATTGAAATTGTAATAAATAAAATAGACAATCAGATGATTTAAAAATTTTTGAAATATAATCATAAAATATATCAAGTCATTTATACAATATAAAATTAAACCAATGAAATCTAGTTATTAAAGTAATTTTTGTTGACATTTTTATATTTTATATATAAAAAATTCTAATTGGTATTTAAAATATTAGTTAGAAAATAGATTTATTTAATATATATATATGTTGTGCATCAAAGCATAATTTATGTTAGTTTTAAATTGACTTGTATTAATTTGAAATTTTAAGTTGATATTATGTCAATATTTAGTTAAAATTTATTCACATCAATTTAGAATTTACATAGATAGCATGTCAAATTTAAATTCAAGTCAATATAAAATTAAATGTGTAAAAATTAAAGCATAAAATTAGATGTGTAGAAAAAAAAAATTAAAATCAAATGCATAAAAAAACCCCCAACTAGATTTCGAATACAAATTAGATAAATAATAATAATAATAATAAGATTTAAGTATAGATATTATTCATCATAATTTGTACAATGACTATTGCTAGAATGACAATTTGATCTATAAACAACTCCAGATTTTTTGCATTTACAATGTTTTTGATTACATTTTGTATAGCAATTACAATGAACACCAATATTAATTGATGTTGATTGTGCAATTGCTGCTTCATGAACACTAATCAAAACATTAAGTATATTGTTAAGCTTAGCAAATTCTTGTAATCCTATTAACTCCATCTCATTTGCTAAATAACACTTGTTTATGATACCTGTTGTACAACCAAGATGATACTGATTATTTGATAAAACTTTAATGATTTTGCAAGAAGAGTTTTGCAATCTGTACTTGATTGATCAATTGATAGAACTTGAATTTTAATGTAAGTACCAATTGGGAAAAGATTATTAACTTGTCTTTTTTTGTTTCACTTTTCTAATTGTTTTTTCATTTTTTTTGCTTTATTTTGTATATGCCTAGCTGCTGAGCTACAATAAATTTCATGTAATGTTGATGGTAAGTTTTCTTTTTTTTCATCATAGTGGATATGTTTTGAGGCATTATTATCTTGATATAATAATAATCATAATTATAATATATAATAATATCAATTATTACTATTATAAAATTATTATTTACCTCAATATCTTGATTAGATAATTTACTTATTACAGTTTCAGCATTATGATTATAATTTACTTTATTCAAATTAGAACATAATACATAATTCTATATTATATAATTAATTAGCATAGTATTAAAAAAAAATAGATAAATAAATAAAAAAAATAAATAAATCTTAACTCTTTGATTCGATTCAATGTTTTGGTCTAATCTAATACTTTGGTTCAATTTATTATTTTGATTTAACTCAGTGTTTTAAATTAAGTTAGTATCTTGATACAATTCAATACTTTGGTTTAACTCAATACTCGATTCTATGTTTAACTCAAAGCTTGACTCAATGTTTAACTCAATGCTTGGCTTAATGCTTGGCTTAATGCTTGACTTAATACTTGATATGATGCCTGATTCATTACTTAACTCATTGCTTAGCTTAATTTTTGGTTTAATATTTGACTCAATACTCAGCTCAATGCTTGATTCAATATTTGATATGGTATCTGACTTATTACTTAACTCAATATTTGGCTTAATATTCAATTTAATACTTGATCTAATATTATTATTTTTAATTTTATAATTAGCTTCATGAATTATTCCATCAACTAATTCTTCTTTATTTATAATATTAGCTTCATAAAATGCAGATAATGAAAGAAAATGAACCTATAGTTTTTGGCAAATACTAATTTATAAGGAGTATATCTTGTAATATAAGATATTTCAGTATTTATAGCATGTGTTACTAATAGAAGTCCTTGGGTCCAATTAGTACTCTTTTCATTCTCTATCTATTTGAATAATTTACATTCTAAGCAATCATTGGCTTTTTCTATAGAGCCTTGAGACTCAGAATGCTGTAAACGTCTATTAATAATTCTAACACCAGACCATAAAGATATTAACTGATCAATTATATTTGCTGTGAATTCTTTACCATTATCTGTATATAAAATTATAGAAGAACCAAATATAATAAAAATATTAAACAGAATAATTGCTACTTCTTCAACATATTTAGAAGTTAATGATGATAATTAGCAAAATTTAGAAAAGTAATCTTTTGTATGACATATATATCTATATTCATTATTAGGTTTACTAGTCATTAAGATTAAATCAACCTACAAAATTAATAATAATTTATAATGCAATACTGTAAATTAAAAATATAAATTAAAAATTATAGTAATTTTATATACTTCAATTCTTGTCATAAATTTTGTATGAATTATAGATCTTGCTGCAGTATGCTGAAAAAAATTACACTGTAACTCATAGGTTTTATATTGTGTAACAAATTTTTTAACCAAATCTTGATGAATAAAGCTATATTGATTTCAAAGTTTAGATCACAATTTTTGTTGACTACTATGTTGTTGTGTTCTGTGTGTACTACAAAGAATATTATAAAGTTTTTCTTTTATAGCAACAAGTTTATTTTTATGATAAAGATAATAATTTGGATTTTCTTCAGTTCTAATATTTTTTATTATGAATGTTGATCACATTCAGTATCTATCTTAGGCTGTTTCACAGGTTGTTTTAAAATTTAAAATAATATATATAGCTTGATCATATGTTTGTTGTATTATAAATAATTTTTTTTGGAAATGAATATCTCTACTTTGAATATAATTTTCTAAAAATAAATTAAAAGAACTTCATGTAAAAAAAGAATACTCATCACAATTATTATTTGTCATTACAAAAATAAAAAAAAAATTTAGTAACTAATTATTATTTATATTAATCAATTTTCTGTATAAAAGTTTATCATTATCATATTATTAAAGTATACTATGTTGACTTTAAATTAACATAATGTTAACTTAAATTTTAAATTAACATATGTCAATTTAAAATCGACGAATATTGAGGTTTGATATACAACATATACATAGTTAAAAAATAACATCACTAGAAAAATTGTAATTTATGAAAAATTTTATTAAGACAATTATCTTTGGACTATTAATAAAAATGTTTCTCTAATAAAAAAAAATATAGTTTCTTAGAGCTATTTTTATTATTATATTACTAAAAGTTTTAAAAATAAGCTAATTTTAATCATTACAAATCTTAAAAAGAAGTTCTGCAAAGATATACAAATGAAACTTCATCAAAAATCGAACTTATTTCATGAATAAATATCTGTTTAATTTGAAATTTAACAAATGAATTTTTGAATATCATCTGCACCAACTTCATTATCATTATATAACATATTATATTTAATTATTATAATCAAATTTAATATAATCATTTTCTATAAAAATTAAAAAAAAAATTATTAGATAAGAAATCATATTTTATAAAGAATTTCATTAAGGTAATTATCTTTATAGTATTAATAAAAAATATTCATCTATCAAAAAAAGATATAGTTTAATAAGACTATTTTTATTACTTTATTATTAAACTTTTAAAAGATAAGTTGATTTCAATTATTATGAATTTTTGCAAAAAGATTTACAAATATATATAGATGAAACTTCATCAAAATCAAGCTTATTTCATGAATAAATATTTGTTTAACTTAAAATTTGATATATAAATTCTTGAATGTCATCTGCACCAACTTCATAATTATTATATAGCATGTTTCATTTAATCATTATAATCAAATTTAACATAATTATTTCTTATAAAATCAAAAAAAAAGCTGTCAGATGAGAAATCATATTTTATGAAGAATTTTATTAAGACAATCATATTTGTGGTATTAATAAAAAATATTTATCTATCAAAAAAGATATAGTCTCATAAGACTATTTTATTACTTCATTATTAAACTTTTAAAGAATAAGCTAATTTTAATTATCATAAATTTTTATAAAAAGATATATAAATATATATAGACGAAGCTTCATCAAAAATTAATCAAGAAAATATAATTTGTAAAGAAATATTTTTATTATTTCTTGAATATCTGAAGCTGAGCTTAGTAATATTCAGTTGAGACACAAATCTAAATTGACTTGAAAGAGAAATCTTTGCTTTTTATATTTTTTTTTTACTATACTATTAGAATTTAAACTTCTTTATATACAACTTATGATATAAATTAGGAAATTTTTAATTATACAATTTTTCTGATCACATGTATAAAATTAATTAGTATTGAGTCAATTGAGGTGCATCAGTTCATTTGACATTTGACTGAGTCACTAATTTTTCTGTGAGTCATTTTTACTAATAATTAATTAGTACTGAGTCATAAGATGAAAAACTATAAAGAATTTTTAAAAAAATCTTATTTGATATAGTCCAATTTAATAGTAATTTAACTAACAGTCTATAGATAATGAATTAATTTATTTGACTCTTGATCATGTGATTTCTTTTCAGAATTCTGAATTTATATTTGTTTTTTTATATTAGCATTATAGTTGTTATTAGCAGTAAAGGATATAATATTGGATAAAAAATATAATTTAGCAATTAAGATATGATAACCTAGTAAAGTGGTCAGGTTGTCAACCTTCTAAGTGGTAAGTTGGATGTTCAAATCCCATCAACAGTAAAAATTTAGATAATCATCTATATAAGATTTATATTATAATAACTGTTACTAATGATTAGATTAGAATACTTGTAATAATAGTCACACCAATATAACTAATAGGTCATAGGCATCTGTCCAATATTGAAGCTATACAGAGAAATGCAAACTGACAAATCAGATAGTACAAATATTAGATAAGTTCTTATGGCTATAGAAATCTGTTAAAATTAGGTAACAAGAAGTTCATTTAAGAAAATTCAAATAAAAAAGTAGCTGGATCTTTAACAGCCCTACTGTAAAGACTAGCTCAGAAAAATGAATACCAAGATTATAATACCTGGTCATAGTAGCTAGACAGGCAAGAACCTTTGAGTTAAAAGTTTTAAAGATATTACCAACTAGACCACTAGAATGAACCAGAAAAAAAGGATATTAGGCTAACCTGATATATCAATAGACTGATTATAGTTCTATATAAGCTATCTGAATTAAGAGTTTGGTAAAAAGACAAGTAAAAAGACAGAAGTATACTGAAGTACCAGGTTATACTATGAAGTAGATGCTGAGATCTAAGTGAACTCTACAAAGATATAACAGTTTAATGGTTAAGTTCTGATTACAAATATTAGTTCTATTATAGTAATATCTAAATTAGTTATAAAAATAGATACAGAAGGCTCTGAAGAGTTTACCTTGAGGATAAAATAGTCATAAGATTAAAGATGCATTAGGTATGACCTAGTAAAGTTAACAGATTTGCAAGTTTAGAGAATTTAAAATAGAATATTCAAGCAGAAGTATTAGATATAACAATTGATAAGAAACCTTTAAATAGACTCTTTAAATAGGTAATATAAAAAAATTACATATGTAACCAATTGTATACTTTTTCTGTAGTGGTTCACTAAACCCTATTTACTATTGTTAAATAAAGTCAAAAGACCTAAAGGGTCATCTTAATACCAAAAAAAAAAAAATAATTTAGTAATCAAAATTTTAGTTATATAAATTTTATAAATGTCATCCTCTAAGCAGTAGGTCCAATATTCAATTTCTATCAGCAACAGATTTTGGAAAAATAGACCTATTCCAGCAAACTTATCTGTG